ATCTGCACCAGTGATAAAATAGACTAAGATGGCTTTGGAGTAGTCACCATAATGTATCACCTATCATTTTCTAAGGTTAAGGTTTTTTTTAATGTTATGCTTTACAACAGTACAAATTAAGAAATATTATACGAATTTGTATACACGTTACGCTAGTACATTTTTTAAAAAACCCTAAACTTTTTCTAAAATGTCATAAATCAAAAATAACTAAATAAAATAAAATGTCATAAATCACTTACCAAATTCATAAATACTATTTACAAAAAGTTACTGGGTTGATGGTAGAGCTTTACAGTATATTAATCACTTTTTAAGCAGTGGTAGGGATCAATGTCAGGGCCCTGAAATACCAGGCAAGCATTCTACTGTTGTTCAAACAACTCCATGAAGTAGTCTAACGATAGGATAGCACATAGGATTGATGAAAGCATATACAAAATGCTTAATATGGTACCAACTATAAAACAGGCATCTAATAAACAGGTTTATAAAAATATATGAAGTGAGGCATAAGTGATTTGTTCAAGAACATTCAATTAGTGGAAAGTAGAGCAGAATTCCCCCTCATTGCAGCTCTTCAGACAACAAAACCCAGAATCTTTCTGCTATACTGTTACTGTACCCTAGGAAAGAAAACAGATGCTAAACTATAGCCAGTTTTCAACCCTTTAACACTAACCCCCAGGAATCAAACTTAGCTGGGCAAGGTGGCACAGGCCCATAATCCTAGCAGTAGGGGGACAAAGGAGAGATGATCACTGCAAGTCTGAGGAAAGCCTAGCTGCATACTTAGTGAGTTGTAGCACAAAATGTCCTCCCAAGCCAGCATAGTTCAGCTGTCTGGGTGATGGTTTCTGATGCAATTTCCCTTGATTTGGTTTCTTAGAAATAGGGGGTCATTGTGATGCACAGCTGGCCACTATGATTCATATTATAAAAACCAATCAAAGACAGAAAAGTTCTCTACCTTTATACATCCCCTTTGCAACCTGATAAAAAACTTCCTTCCCTGGGTCTTAAGAGGGCCTGACATTTTGAAGGACAAATGATTCCCCGCCAGTGCCAACTGACATAAATCTGCCTCCAAATCCTGAGCGTTGTTTCGGTGTTTCTGTTGGCTGTTGAAAGTTCAGAGCTAGCCTGAACTATACAGCAAGACCCTGTCTCAAAACACAGACACAATCAAATCTTCCCCACAAAATAAATGAGAAACCCTCTCCTTTAAATGTGATTATCACAATATATTTTCTTTATATAGAGAGTGTATAAGAAATAACAAAATCTGAAATCCCAAAAACAAAAGTCTGTTGGAAGAATAAGCTTCAATAAGACTCCAAATACTACTAAAACATTTCAATGATCTCAAGCAAATTACCAAATGCAAATACTCCAAATAAAGAAGCTATAACTGGGCCACATAGATAGCTCATTGGTCTAAGTGCCTGCCTACGCAAGCGCAAAGATCTAGGTTCAATCCCTGGTACCACATGCATGTCAGCGTCGCCCCAGGAGCACTGAACCGGCCACCATGACCAAACATGGTGGTGCATGCCTGTAAGCCCAGTTCTGAGGAAGCTGAAACAGAAGGATCACTATGAGTCCAAGCTGTGTAGTGAGACCCTGTAACAAATACATTAAAAAAAAAAAAAAAAAAAAAAGCTGTATCTATTACTATGTAAGGTGAAGTACAACTAAATGAGTGAATTCTTATAAAGTTTTACGTGCTCAAGTTAAAAATAAAACTTGCCAGCCGGCCAAATAGCTCAGCAGATTAATGTGCCTGCTTAGGCAGATGCAGGGGCCAGGAGTTCAAACCCCAGGCCTGCCGTGCCAGCCTTGCCCCCGGGACACCCCGAGAGGGCAAATGAGACTGGGCATGGTGGTGCGTGCCTGTGATCCCAGCACCTGGGAGGCTGTAAACAAGAGGATCACTACGAGTCTGATCTACACAGTGAGACCTGTACACCCTGTCCTAAATACAAAAATAAAAATAAAATAAAACTTGCCCAGACTAGTGAGTAACTGTACATATATTTTAAAGTCTTGTCTACTTGACTCACCATGACAAAGTGTTAAAATATTTCATTATTTCACTAATACTTAAATACCATTAGGTATTTCTTCTGATATATTCTTACATATAACTGCAGATAAAAAACTATCTGAGAACAAGCAGCTTCTGAAATGCTCACAATGATTGATCCCATCTGCTATATCCTGTGCGGTCCTGCTGGACTCTCTCCTTGAATGTTGGCTTGATGAGGTCTTTACTTTTTTTTTTTTTTTTTTTAAATGGAATAAGGATTTTTTTTTTTTTTTTGTTCCTCGAATGCCTTCAGGGCACTTTTGGCCAGTGGGAGAGGTGTGAGGTTCGAACTCCAGCAACTTGAGGCTGACAGCTTTGTGGAAGCAGCCACTTAAAGGCCTGAGCTAGGGCCAGGCCCCCCTTTACTTTTTTTAAGAGTAGGAAATGTTACTGGGGAAAAAAATGGGCAATAGGATTCTGGAAATAGGAATAGCTCCTGAGAGAGAGGAGAGGTCCTGAATGGGTTGCCCAAGTTGCTTACTTTTAACTCATAGAATATGGCCAAGAATGTGACTTCTAACATCACACGACTACTGTGTGACCTTTTTTCTTGTTCACACTCGATCTCTATTGCTTTATTATCTGGCCACCTCAAAGAGGCCCAAAAGGTAAAATATTTACATCTGCCAACACAAGCATAATTCTGCACAGAAGCAGCTTCTTCGCTAGGACACAACTGCATGTTGTCTTAGCCAGAAGCATCATGCCAGTGTACAAGGAAGCCTGACATAGAGAACCCATACAAACAGTGCCTAGATTTCTGACTCACAGGAACTTTTATGTAAGTGTTATTTAAAAATACTAAGTTTTGGGCCAATCTGTCACACAGCATTATGCAGGTAATACACTACTTTAAAAATTGCTACGAATTTTCTAGATGACTAGCACTTATTTTTTAAAATAATTTAATTTACAAATCTTCATTTTTGCAGAAAAGTTTAGATTTGCTAGTGTTTCAACTTAACTTTTTTTTTTGGTACTGTGGACCAAACTCATGATCTTGTGCTTGGCAAGGCAGGCATTTATGCCACTGAGCTATCTCCCTGGCCTCTTGACTCTTTTTTAGATTTTAATTGGAAGCAATAGGTGGAGATGATAATACCCTACTTGCAATAATGGACAGAATAATAAGCAAGAACATCAACAGGAAAATTAGTCTTGATCATTACAACTTAACCTAATAAACACCTATAGAACATTCAACAGAAGGTATTTTTTTTTCTTTTTCTCCCTTTTTTTTTTTTTTTTTTAGTATATTTGCAATACATAATAAATATCCTTATCATGGGGAATTGGTGAATACACAAATCACATCTTAACTCCTTTTACTTCCTCTTGCCCTTCTCTACCTCCCACTTATCACTATCACTGAATGAATGGATAAAGAAAGTGTGGTACTGGGAATACAATAGAAAAATATGGTGAATGTTTAAATTTTGAAAATTTATTACAGTACAGAGCCGGCTGAATAGCTCAGTGTATCAAAGCACCTGGCCGGAGGTTGATCCCCAGCATGCTGTGCTGCCCCAGAGGTGTCAGCCCCACCTCTGGGGCCCACTGAGAAAGCAACTGAGACAGCATAGTGGTACGCACTTATAATCCCAGCACTTGGAAGGCTGAAAACAGGAGGAGGATCGCTATGAGTCTGATCTGTGTAGTGAGACCCTGTACTAAATACATTTTTAAAAATATTACAGTACAATACACATTGCCATTAACCCTCCTAAAAGCCCATTCTCTTGTTCTACCTTGTTTTCCTTGCCTATCTTATTGTTCTTGCCACTTTCTTTCAGTTTATTTGGGGTTTGAAGTTGCTGTTTGTTTATATTTGGAGACAGGGTTTTGCTGTATAGTTCAGGCTGGCCCCTGGGCTCACTAGGTAGCCCAGACAACCTGGAACTTCAGGTGCTCCTCCACTTTCTGAAGCAGTTCTGGAAGTCTGTGAGAGTCTGTGCTTGCTGCCTCACACCTGCCTTGACTCCCTGAATCAATTCAAAATGCTGACCTTTCGTGGTCATTTTCACTTTGAGGAACAGCCAGGAGTTTCACTGTCAGATCTGGAGAGTAAGTGGATAATGCCATAATTCTTTTTTTTTGTTTGTTTGTTTTAAACCAAACTACCAAATATTTATCAGCAAATATAAAGGGTTGCACTAATACAGCTGTATTTCAAGATGCTTTGCTCTAGATGTCAATACCAATCCTTGATCACCACATATGTGGGTTTCTTTCAGCTCTTCTACTTCTGATTTTCCATCATGTATAGAAACCTCGGCATCCATGTCATCTTTCTTTGCTTTTGACAAGACCCACGGAGCCAACTTTCCATCATCAAAGATTTCTGTAAAATATACTTCTGCTATAGGTTTGGGTACCTTATAGTTAATCTCTGAAGAACTTCCATTAACATCAATCTCATCTGAATTTTTTTCAAAGTCTTTCAACCTCAACGCTATCATTTATAATTCTGCATTTACTGAGATGAATAGAAGACCCAAACATAGCCCAAAGCCTGGGAAACAGATACTATCTGTCCTGCCAGTTAGTTTTCAGGACTGGCAATTCAGACGTCTGGCTCTTGGCCACTTGTTCCCTGGATCTCCCCACAGCAATCATAATACCTGGGGCTGCACAGGAGTCCAATTTTTGTATGAGCCTGCTTCTCCATTGGACAACACATGGTAGCAGGATTTTCTATATTTTTGATCCCATCACATAAAAACACAAAAAGAGTTCTAGAAGAATTTAAGGCATGGTGGCTCACTCCTGTAATCCCAGCACTTGGGAGGCAGAGGCAAGGGATTGCCATGAGTTAGAGGCCAGCCTAGACTACACAGTGAGTTCAAGGTCTGCCTCAACTGCATACAGACCTCGACTCAACCGCCCCCACAGGATAAGTGCGTTCAAAGTAAAAGCAAGTATTTTGAGGGGAATTAATGGCAATATCTGTTTTACCGTAATAACTTTTTTTGTAATAACTTTTTAAAATTAAGCATTCACTGTACTTTCCAACAATTCCATGTCTCTATATATGGAAGATTAGCTATAAAAAATGAAAAGTGGTTATCTGTGGTAACATGAATGCGTTGGGAAGATATTATGTTAAGTAAAATAACTCAGACACAGAAAAGACAAATATGTATGTTGTTGTGTGAAAGTTTAAAAAGTCAATCTCACTGAGTACTGTATTATATTGATTGCTAAAACCTCGGAAAGGGGAAAGGGGGGGCAAGTTACAGAAAGAGGATAGTTTAATAAGTATCAGTTGCAGTTGGATATGTCTGTGATTACTAACAATTATATATTTTAAAATGACTACTAGAAAGGTTTCTGAATGTTCCCATTGCAAAGAAATGAATGTTTGAAGTGATGGATATGCCAATTACCCAGTTCTATATATTGTATAGCTGTAATGAAATGTTGTACTATATATCTCATGAATATGTATAATTATTATTGACAACCAAAAATAAAAAGAAATCAGAAATATTTACATGTGATAAATATACAAAAATTTCTGAAATGCACAAGAAGTAGTACTTAAAAGTTTTTTTGTAAATGTCTATAGTAAATTAAAAACGTAGTCTGTGAATATCTATACTCCCAGCTACTTGGGTGGCTGAGGCAGAACAATCATTTGAGTCCAATGTTAAAACCAGACTAGACACAACCAATTCATCTCAAAAAATAAAAACAAAAAACAACAATTAATCTTAACCTACCATTTTAAGACACTGGAGAAAGAAGAGCAAATTAAAGCTAAAGCAACAAGAACGAAGAAAATAATAAAGAATAATGCAGAAATTAGTCAGGGGAATAAAAGAGAAAAACAATAGGAAAATTGATTAAACCAAATGCTGATTCTCTGAAAACAAAAGAGACAATCTTTAGCATTTTAAATGCTCAAGAATTGGATCCTGGTCGTGCTGTGCCGCCTCCCTCCCCCCAACCCATGGCACACTGAGACGGCAATTGAGACTGGGCAATGCGGCTCATGCCTGTAATCCCAGCTCTCGGGAGGCTGAAAACAGGCTGATCACTACAAGTCCAATCTAGCAGTGAGACCCTGAACACCCTGTAGATCCTTCCCTAAATACAAAAATAAATAAATAAATAAATAAATGCCTAAGACTCAAATTAATACAGTCGAAATAGAAGATGAGACACCTTTACCAACACTAAATGAACGAAAAGGACTTCAAAGAAATACTAGATAATTTGGAAGTAATGGGCAAGCTCCTAGGAAGAAACTATCAAATCTGATTCAACAAGAAATAGACAATATGATCTGGTCCATAACAAGGAATGGAATCAGTAATGAAACAAGCCCATGTTCAGGTGGCTTCACTGCTAAATTCTATTAATTAAAAAAATTAATACATAAAACTCTTCATAAACTCTTCCAAAAAAGAAAGAAAATAGAAGGCAGTATTTCCCAACTCATTCTGTGAAGCCAGTTATGAAAAAGGATATTAATATGGATTGCCTCACATCAAGTCACAAAGTTTGATTTTAACTATGCCTGACTTCTAATTCTGATTCAACCAAATAATTACTTTTTAAGATTGAACTTTTCAAGACAGAAGGCCAGTCATCGTAGTACATATCTGTACTCCCAACACTGTAGGAAGGTAGTGCAGGTTGGGCAAATTCAGTGACTCTGCAAGACCCTCTCAAAAATTAAAAATGATGGGGACATAGCTGAGTAAAACAGCCCTGAGTTAACCTCCAGCCCCGCAAAAGAGAGGGGAATGAATATATACATGTATATATATATATATGAAACACAGAATATCTCTGTACTAATGTGTTTTATTAATTCAGATAGCTTATTTTCAAAAAAAGATTTCAATTATAACACAGAACAAAAATACTGACGTGGTCTGAATATACTCTGTCTCCTTCAAAACTTCTGTTGAGATTTGTTAATGTAATAGAATTAGGGCTTAATGACAAGACGTTTAGGTCATGGGATGGACCCTTTATGAATACATTAATGTGATCTCCTGAGAGTGAGTTTGAGTTCTCACAGGACTTCATTAGTCACCATAGTAGCGTTGTCCCTCCTGTTCTGTATCTCTCACATGCATCAGCTTGCCATACTTTTTTCCACAAGAGTCAATGGATGCAGCATCAGGCCCTAACCAGACATGGCCACAATGATTGTGAACTTCCTAGTTTCCAAAGGTAACAACTAAATAAAGCCCTTTCAGGTATTCTGTTGTAGCAACAGAAAACAGACTAAGACAAATATCTTTTTACTTTAAAGTTTGAAAAAAAAAAGATTATATATATGATACACATACACACACATTAAACATTCAGTGGATCATTAATGTATGTCTTTTCTTTACGAATGCAGGGCTGGGGACTGAACCCAAGACCTTACACATACTAGGCAAGCGCCCCATCACTGAGTTCCTAAATTTTCAGATCCTTATTTTATATACTTTAAAAGACAGATGGCTAACTGTATATAGCTCAGTGGCACAGAACTTGCCTAATGTGTGAGACCCTGGATTCAATACCCAAAATTGAAAAGAAAAAAAGAATAAGGAAAAAATTAAATAAACTAGAAGTATTTTCAAAAGAAATTTAAGTACACTACATTCATTTTGGTAATCATTTCCCCATGAGCAACATTTATTTTTTACTTTTAATATATTCAATTTGTAACTGCAATACATATATAGGGCAAACATAAATGTCATGAGTCAATATTAAGGCGTTTCACATTAAGAAGCCAAATATTTCATACACTTCTACTCTCATTATATTATCTGGTTAAGCTTTTTTCTAAAAGTTAAAGACACACAGTCTTTAAAATAAAGCTTATAAAAAGTTTCCTAAATGTGCTTACTTCCATCTAAGATAGTAATTCCAAAAAGTAATGTATTTAAAAAGGCTAGGAGTCCCAAATTCCTCTGAAAACATAACCCTCACACATGTGTTTTTCATGTTTTTGTAAGCTGTAACAACATCACCAGAGTAAGGCTGACCTTACTGACGGGTCATTCTCCAGGAGTTCAGTAAGCCGCTGTACTTGCTCTGGTTGGATGGATCGTCCTAAGAGTGCTTCTGTGTTAGTGTAGATCAGGAATGCTGAGACCACACCCAATAAGGTGCCCACACCCAAAGAACCGAGGCTGTCATACAATGGATTGCCTAAATAAAGCACAGAGTAAAGCAGTGAAATAACAGCTATTAGTATTTCAATAAAAACTTGGCCTTCAAAAACAAACAACCAAAATTAGTAAGCTAGGGGGATCAAAATTCACTAACTCCCTGAGTTACCTCTTTTAACGACTCCAAGTAATTTTTCTATACATACTTCAAGACAACGACAGCGCTCTTTCCCGTCTTGCAAAATGGTAGACAAAAAACTGAAAGCCAGACACTGAAGAGAAGAAACCCAAGAAGATACTGGTAAAAAGGGTAAAGTGAAGACAAAAAAGTCCAAGAAGGGGCAGCCCCACTGCAGCCGAAATCCTGTCCTTGTTAGAGGAATTGGTAGACACTCCTGATCTGCCATATATTCCAGAAAGGCTTTGTACAAGAGAAAGCACACAGCTGCTAAATCAGAGGGTGAGAAAAAAAGGAGAAAGTTCTTGCTACGATCACAAAACCAGTTGGTGGGGACAAGAATGGAGGTACTCAGGTGGTTAAGCTTTGAAAAATGCCTAGATACTACCCTAAAGTCATGGCAAGAAACCCTTCAGTCAGCATGTGAGGAAGCTTCAAGCTAGCATCACTCCCAGCACCATCGTGATCATCCTCACTGGGTGTCACAGAGGCAAGAGAGTGGTCTTCCTGAAGCAGTTGGCCAGTGGCTTGCTACTTGTGACTGGGCCTCTTGGCCTTAATCGTGTTCCTCTCCAAAGAATACATCAGAAATTTGTCATTGCCACCTCTACAAAAATTGATATCAGCAAAGTGAAAATCCCCAAACACCTCACTGATGCTTACTTCAACAAGAGCTGTGGAAACCCAGACACCAAGAGGGTGAGATCATCAATATCAAGAAAGATACCAGATTTCAAAGCAGCGCAAGGTGGATCAGAAAGTGGTTGATTCATAGATTTTAGCAAAAATCAAAGCTGTTCCTCAGTTCAAGGGCAACTTACGATCTGTTTTTTCTCTGACAAATGGAATTTATCCTCATAAATTAGTGTTATAAATTTCTTACTAAGAAGCTAATTAAATAACTGATACATAAAAAAAACAAGGATAGCAAAATTTATATACATTAAATGAAAGCATTATGTAACTGAACTATCTAATATCTGTTTCTTGCATCTGGTTATCACATTGGTAAGATCTCAGAGCATTTTCAGGTAGAGATATCATTTTCATATTTATAAAGAATCAATTTATTACTTTAGATATATCAGTAGTATTTTTCTACCCCAGATGGGCAGAGTGACTGTGAAATCAAAACCTTTAAGAAATAACAATTTTTCATGTCTTATTATTATCACCATCCTATAAGAGCATTAAACTCTACAGAAAATAAGGCTGACTCTTCTCACTGGATCAAGGATGGTATCTAACTAGATACCAATTCTAGATACACAGCAGAAAAGTAAACTCATCATATGAAATCAGTGCCTGAAAGTGACAGTTCCTAAATGTGACTTCTGGACCAGCAGCTCAGTATCATCTGAGCATGTGATATAGACACAAATTCTCAGGCTTCATCCAAAAGATTCTTAAGATGAGGCTGACCACTGTTTCACCAGGTCATCCAGCTGATTCTGCTTTTAAAATTTGCCTTAAACTATTGGGACTTAATGCTTCCTCACAACCAATGAGAAAGGCTAATTCACTATTGAATAAGGGTATAGGTAATATTTATATTACAGACATTAATGAATCTTACATTTCAAACCTTTAAGTTTTATACACATGACTTTTATAATAAATCTTATTTCAAAAATGAAATGTCAAAAAAATGAAATGTCATCAATATTAACTATTTTAATGCTTGATAAAACACATTTATTTTGCTAAAAAAAAATCTCAATTTGTTAATTTTATTCATGTAGAGTCAAAATAACACTAAATCAGGTGTAGTGGCACATGCCTGTAATCTCTGAAGGCCTCAGCCTGGGTAACAGCAACTTAGCAAAACCTTATCCAAAAACATTTTTAAAAGCAGCAAACATAGATCAGATTGAAGGCCTTATGTTCACACTACTACAAAAACAAAAATCAAAAAATACTACTAAAAAGTAAATTCATTTACTTTTATCCACTTATGAAGCATTACTGCTCTTTACAAAGCCAAATTGAAAGAATTTATGTCCAAAAAAAAAAAAAAAGTCTAAAACTATAAAGTAAACCAGAAAAATAAGCATAACATTCTACACTGGAGAATGCAGCTTTAGCCTTAAAATGTACATTTCAAGATGAGAAAGAACAATTTGTAGTTCAGAAGAACTATGGAAGCTCATTATCTGAAATTATTTTAAATATGCAAAAATCAAATGGAGAATGGAAGTATAATAGTTACAAAAGAGCTCCCAACTTCATAAATTCAGAGATTTTTCAAATTAACTGGTTTTGTTTTAGAAAAAAAAAATTTTAGTCTTCTCACTGTATTGTACAGAAGACAATGTGCTACAAAAATGAGGATAGAACCAACTCAGAGTTAAATAAATACAGAGGTAAACAGCAATTATCAGCACTAAGAGCAAAAATGAATAAGAGCCACAACATACATTTATTGAAAACTTGAGTTTATTAAAGTGTTCTCATCTTAATCAACTTGTAAAGTTATTATTCACATTACCCAAACTTTTATACATAAAGGGCTTATAGATCACCAAGACTATAAAATTTAAGTCATAGCTAGAAAGGTTTGCAGTATTATAGAAATCTACTAATATCATTACTTATTTCTAAAGTGGAAAAATTTCTTTTCTCTTTTGTGGATTTTTGTTTTTGTTCTTTGAGACAGGGCTTTGCCATGTGTTCCAGGCTGGCTTTGAGCTCACTATATAGCCCAGGCTGGCCTCAAACTTATAGTGATCCTCTTGCCTCAGCCTCCCAAGTGCTAGAATTACAGACATGTGTTACCATGCTCAGCTTTAATGTACAGAAATAACTAATTCAGAGAAAATCTAATGCTTTTACTGAGTAAATATTTCATACAAATAAATGATTACTATGGAATTAATATTTAATCATCTATTGGTTTAAAATTATTCAATGATATAAGAACAAAACTCATATATATATTAGGGAACTGTGTAATACAATAAATCACCTATAATTTAAGAAAAATTTACCTGTTATAGAAGTAAGGCCCATGCAAGTGGCTGCTATTGTCACTCCCAAGACTGCTGCAGTATCCTCCAATAATATAACATTGGTACTAGGATCACGACTTTCCATTACTTAATCATGGGGGAGAAGAGGAGAAAAGAAAATTTCTGAAATGTTAACTTGATACTATCATAAGATATGTTAGTAATCATCCAATTAAAGCTAAGCCAGAAATTTAAATAAAAATGTAGGACAGATCACAATTTTTAAAACACTGTTCAAGATAAACATAATTTCTTGGCTTAAATGTCAAATTATTTTTTCAAGTTCTATATCATACAGACATACAGCAGTTTGCTTAGCCAAACGCAAATACTATGAATTTTTCTTTTTTCAATGCATTTGGTACAGGTTCTCACTATGCAGCTCAGACTCATAGTGATCCTCCTGTTTTCAGCCTCCCCAGCACTGGGATTACAGGCGTGTGCCACCACGCCTAGACTCATGGGCCAGCTCAGCATGCCTGGGGTCAGGGCTGGCGCGGCGTGTGGCACTGGGGATCAAACCCTGGTCCCTGCACTTGTCAAAGCAGGCACTTAGTCCACTGAGCTATCTTGTCAGCCAGCCCCAAATGAAAGTATACATATGGTCAGATTACATTTCTCTTTTTAAAAGCGCTATTTTATTCATAGGAAAGACACTGACATACATATTTTGTATCCATCTATTAAGAACACAACAACAGTATGAAGTAATTTTAAATGCATAAAAGAGGGGAAATTAAGAGGGCTTCCAAAATACATACCATAGGGGCTGGGGAGATGGCTCAGTGGAATAAGCGCTTCCCTGGCAAGCGCAAGAGCCTGAGTTCAATCCCCGGTTCCACCAAAAAAAAAAAAAAAAAAAAGTACATACCATACTTGTAAAATGACATTCCTTTGGCTTGAGCACTTCTACGAAGTTCATTTATGGCTACAAGAAGTGTCGCTGAAAGGAAAGTATTCATATCAGCAAGAAAGAAATTTTGTACTTCCAAACATTAAGATGGGATCTCAAAACACAAATATACATAGTATTTTACTTGGTGGGGGTTTGCCAGGAATTCAAGCTCAAGACCTTAAGCTTGCCAGGCAGGCACTATGCTCTGAGCTATATTCCCAGATCCACATAATACTATATTACCATGTTTGAAATAAGCAAAAAGTTCTAGTCATTATCAAAACTCCAATTAATCATAATAAAATCATTCATTAAATAAAATTATTAAAATGACAGTCTTAACTTATTGAATAGCTACTCAGCACAATTACTTTTGATTCTCCCAACTTTTTGAGGCAAATTGTGCTATCACTATTTTATAGTCTTTCAAAGAAAAAAGATACAAACATATCTATTACGATCTGTGAATTAAAATCATATTAATTTTAAAAATAAGTGAAGCTATACCACTCATAGGAAATGACAATGTTTCAGGGTATATATGCTAGGTGTACCACAGTGAATTAAGCAGTTTCATTTGATATTGTCATAGTAGTGTCAAAGCTATATATTTCAGAAATTCTCAAAATAGTCTTATGGCAAAACAAGATAACCTCTGTTCTTCATTAACACTACTAGAACTTGATTTTGAAAAACTCAGGATAGTTTTTATAATACTCCATTTCTGTTGTACTGAGCATTATATGATGCTCTGAATAAAACATTTTTCTCCTCCCTCATCTATTACGGGACAACCACTGTACAGCACACAAAAACTTTCTTGCAGAAGTAGACAAAGCTTATACTCCTATCAAAGTTTCATTAATCAACCAAACTTAGTAAAACTATAATAGACTGTTGAATACATATCACTAACTGAGAACAAGGACTACTTTGACAGTACATACCTCCTTCAGACACCAACGATCCTGCTAAAATACAATATGCCTAAAAAATTAAAATACAGAATACTTTTATTTCACTAAATATTAATAATTATTCATATATAAAATTTACAATATCCTAAGCCAGAAACAATTCAAACCCAAGCTATACGATAAGGACTTCAATGAGAAACAGTTTAAAAGAGGACAATGTGGGGGCCTGCCCCTTAGCTCAGTTCATTAAGTGGCTGCTTCAACAAAGCAGTCAGGCTCAGATTGCTGTGGTTCGATCCCCAGAACTCAAGCCAGCCAAACCTGCCCTGAAGGCATTCAGAGCAAAAAAAAAAAAAAAAAATCCTTCTAAAAGAGGACAATGAGACCTGGGCACAAACACTTGACATCTGGGTTGAGGATACCAAATGCACCCATACCCACATAATTTCTGGATTTTTGTTTGATTCCCAGTATGAAGAGAATCCTGATTCAAAGTGGCCAGTAGCCATAAACAATAATCAATTATTTCTTTTGCTATCTCCACTTACTTTTAGTCACAGGATACTCTTCAATTAAAGACTGAAAGATTTAGTCCAAGATATATAAAAAGAGCTAACTTAGTGATACAAATGTATTAAAAAATGTAATGAAGGGGGCCAGGGAGATGGCTCAGTGGAATAAGCGCTTCCCTGGCAAGCATAAGGGCCTGAGTTCAATACCTGGTTCCGCAAAAAAAAAAAAAAAAAAAGTAATGAAATTCAAACATGTGTAAAATGTAAAATTTTCAACATATCTTTCTGAAAACCTAGGGTTTTTTTGAAAGAAGTGTAAAAACATCAAACTTAATGTAACATTCTTATAATTCTCTTCCAGAAACTGAGGTCTCCAGGGTTAAGTGATGTGACTGAGAACACACAAATGGTACCAAAGAACAAACCAGAAATGCAGGCTTTCAGCTTCAGTTCTGGGCTCTTTCCACCAACTCTTACTATCAACCTGCAATTAATTATTGCTAGTATAACTGAAACAGTAGCTAAACTTCCTAATAATTCCTCATATCCTTCCACTTTATCCCTGATTTAAGATACACTTATTATCCAACAAAAGAAGAAAGTGCATTATTAGAGCCAAGGATTCTAAGGTAATACCCAAAAAACCATGAACTGGTTTATACTGTATTGAATTTAACAAAGGGTTCCATTAGGTTATGGAATTCCAATATCCAGAAATACAAAACCCATTAAAACTACACACAATTGAAAACTTAATCTCTAACTTCAGAGACTGCTCTGCCTCTATAAAGTCATGCTGTACAAATCAGATGAATGCTTGGGCAATGAGGTACTGCATCTATAAAGTAGCGAAAAGTTTTCTTTTGTGTGTGTGTGTGAAAAGTTTTCAAGAAGGAGGAAATACAGGTTTATTCATTTGAGTTATATGAACTATAAGAAACTGACCAATAAAGACTGTAGGAAACTAACCAACAGCAAATGAAAGTAAGTCCACTTTAATAGCCCTGTTCTCATACTGTTTGTATAATATAGCAGGATATTAAAACAAGACAATTCATCCAGGTGTGATGACACATGACTATAATCCCAGCACTCAGGAGGCTGAGGCAGGAAGATTGCTGTGAGTTCAAGGCCGATCTCAGCTACACAGTGAATTCAAGGTCAGCCTCAACTACATAGCATGACCCCAGTTTGATGACATAAAACAGGCAACATAATTGGTTTCAGTTACTCCCAAAGGGAGATGCTAAGAGCACATATTCAGGCTTTGCACAGAAGGTGGCCCCAGTCTGGGCTTCTACCCACTGTACTGCGCACTGCATGCAAGCCATTTTAGAAGAGCTGAAAGTAAGGAGGCCAAAACAAAGCAATATCAAGTATGTCTAGAATTATACCATGAGTTGCAGAAGCTGAGGGGCAGTGCTATGTGACCAGTTTATTCTTGTCAAGGGAGCTAATCAGAAGGATCAAAGAGTGTAATCTCCAAGAAATAACAAAAGACGGAAAAAATCACTTTAAACATTGATAATGGCCACACAAAAATCAATACAAAGTAAGAATACTATGCTAGTACTTTTAGCCTCTGTCCCAGTATTGGGCACTGCCAAGGGATAAAAGAAAGAATACAGATGCATCAGGTAGGGCAAACAGAAGGTGCCTGCCTTTCCTCTTTCCATTTCCACCAGGCTTGCAACCTGAAGGAAGCTTCCGATCACAAAGCAAGTTTGTTCTTTCTCTCTCCTCTGTTCTCTCTCCTCCCCTCCCTCCCCCATCTGTCTGTCTGTCTGTCTCCCTGTCTCTCTCCCTCTTTGTTTCCCCGCCCCCTCTGTGCTTAACAGCTGCCTCTCTGCTTTCCTTCTTAGGTTTATGTTGAAATTAGTCAACATTTACTGAAACCCCTTAAGCCATGAGCCAAAATTAACCTTTCCTCTGTTAAGTTTTGTATGTCAGCAATACTGTACCAGAAATAAAAAGATGACTAACAAAGTACCATTCTGAGAAAGGCATGCTATGGTTCTCAATCACTATGCCATACTACTTCCAAACTGAGGGAAAGAATGGGAAAAGAAAAAAGGATGATTACCCATAGAAGGGATTCCATTGGCTCAGGATGAAGCAATCCCATGATTCCATGGTACCAAGAGAGTCCTGCACCCATCATAAAAATACCAACACCGCTAATTAGTGAAGAAATATAGCGCATATTTGAAAATCCATACCTAAAAAATTAAAAAATTATAATTTATAACAATAAAAAGTTTCCTTTCAAAGTATTTGCTTCATAGATCTATGAGAAGCAAATGTTACTTAATTCAGGTATTTTCTAATCCCATTTCCATATACCCAATGAAAATATTTTATTATTACATTCCATATATGCTGGTAAAAATTTTTTAAATGTACATTCAGGTAATTACTGAACACTACATTTAAATTTCCTTGTACTATAGCTTCTAAATGAACACTCTGCTTCTGTATATAGCCAAACTATGACTTATCCTGTCTACAACTTGATGCTTAAAACTCAGCAGTTTAGCAAATATAATTTATTTCTAGTTCTAAACAGTTTAGCACCTAGCAACTGTAACTATTACTAGACCCAACAGCTTCAGTTTTCTGGGCTAGTTTTTTTAAATCTCTATTTTTCCAAGCATCTTTGGTAAAATGTACATAAATTTTTATAATTTCAGAATGAAACCAGTATTAATAAGGGAGCTTAAAAATATAGCATACTATAATAGAACAAAGTCACACATTCACAAAAGTAATTCTTGGAAAATTTACTCCCAAATTTTATTACACCTGTCTAGCATAGATACAAATTCAATTAAGAATGCTTAATCAAAATTACTCTATGGATTTTTTTTTTTTTGGTGGCCATCTCAGCCCACCTTGGGGGCGGGAATGGAGCAGTACATGGTGCTGGAAATCAAACCACGGTCCTTGCATGCTTTCCTAAGTTTGCCTAAGCAGATATTTTAGAGCACTGAGCTGTCTCGCCAGCCCCCTTTGAATTTTTTTTTTTTGCAAAGATGTAATCTCAGCATAATTTCCAATTTAAGTATATGACAATGTTTTATCAGTTTGATTCAGAAAATTTTACTGTTTGCTAAAGTTTATCCAAAATAATATAAGCTATTAATTTAAATATAAGTAAATAAAGATCTAAGTAAATGTCATTACTTTCATTTTACATTTTCAAGAAATTTGTAGGGTTTTTTGTTTTTTTTTTTTTTTTTGCGGTACTGAGGATTGAACTTAGGACCCTGCATTTGCCAGGCAAGCACTTATTCTACTGAGCTATCTCCCTGGCCCCTTGCAGGTTTGTTCTTTTTTTTTTTTTTTTTGACAGAACTAGGGATTGAACTCAGGCCTCTGCGCTTGCCAAGGAAGCACTTACTCTACTGAACCATCTCCCCAGCCCCTCTTGTAGGTTCTTAATAAAGAATTTTAACATGTGGATGTACAGTGTCCAATATGCTAAGTCATTGGCCACATGCAGCAAATTAATGAAAAATGAATGTAGTTTAAAATTTAGTCATAGTAGCCATGTCTCCAGTACTCAACAGCCACAGGTAGCCAGTGACTATTATATTGGACATACGTAATTTTTTTTTTTTTTTTTTAGCATTTTTTAGTACAGGGTCTTCAGGATCTATAGGGTCTCACTACGTAGATCAGACTCATAGTGACCTGCCTCTGTTCAGCCTCCCAAGAGCTGGGATTACAGACGTGAATCACCACACCAAGTCTCAATCCCCATCTCAGAGGGACCTGGGGTGGGGCCGGCAGAGCACGCTGAGGATCAAACCCCAAAACCCCAGCCACTGTGTCTGCCTAAGCAGGCAATTTAATCTGCTGAGCTATTTGGCCGGCCCTTACAATATTTTCATTATTGAAGAAAATTCTATTGGGCAGCACTAAAGTAGATTATTGAAAATACCTTAGGAAAAAAATCTTTATAATCTAAAATTTTAGAATTTCATCCTCTGATTTAAAATCTTTGGTAAATAAAACTGGTTAGGAAAATCATTTTTTTCCTTAGAACAGTAAAACACTATAATGATGTATAATTATCAGACTAGAAAATTAGGGGTTCCCTATAATACTAGCTTACTGATAATTACAGGACACTCAAAATATTTATTTATAGCAGGAGGGCCTTGCTTTCAAGTAAAGAAAGGTAGTTATAAAACAGACACAAACACATTAACAGAAATAAAAATGGATCATTTTGCTTAACACTGATCACATTCTACAAATGAAGTTAGCTAAAATCATAATGCATGTAAATTCAAACATTTTAGATGGTTGTTAGTAGAAGCTACAGAAAAAAACTACCAAATAATTAACTTGATTCAAAAATCACATATTCTGAAAAGTATATTCATTTTACAAATACATAATTTGAAATATAAATAGGATACTATTTCTGAATCACAAACTTACAGTATACATTTAATAAGTTATTACCAAAATTTTAGATTTCATAACCTATTAGTCTAAATCTGTAACGTATTTCCCTGTACCAATATAAAAACAACTCTGAGCCCAAAAAATGTGCTTTGTTATTAATTATGCAGTATGGATCAGATAACATCTCTAGGCTGTGTGGCAAAGAATAAAAGTAATTTAAACTCCATTTTCAAATTATACCTTGAATTTACTTTGACACATCTAAATGCAGGTGAGTCTTGCATTTTTAGATACTACAGTGAAACAAAAAAGAAAAAAAAAGACCAAATCTTTCACAAACTGCAGATATATAAATTGCAGGAACCTTCTGAAATTCAGTTGCTTTTATTTCAGTGACTTATTGCTAAAACAAATAAAAACAAAGGCAATAATATCCTTACGGATGAGTAGGATCTGGTGTTTGAACAGATTTACTGATGCCCAATGCTAGTAAACCCTATGGAGAAGGAAAAAGGTAAACTGTCATTAGTAATATGAAGAGTATAATATGATTAAGCCCATTTGGAGGGTGCAAACTAGTAATAAATGCTTAACAAGTACATGTCTAATGGCCTAACAATTCTGGTTTCCAGTACTTAAGAAAATAAAGATGAATTTAAAGGGTTTCAAAACAACACTGTTTATAAAGATGAAACACATGAAAGCAACCTAAAAATTCATTAACTGGGAGCAAAACAAATGATAAACCACACATTTCATTATTGCAGGAATTTAAAAGAATAAGGTTTGGGCTGGCCAGATGGCTCAGTGGATTAAAGTGCCTGCTTAGACAGATGCAGGGACTAGGATTCAATCCCTGGCCTGCTGTGCCAGCCCCAGCCCCGAGGCACATTGAGACAGTGACTGAGACTGGGCATGGTGGTGCATGCCTATAATCCCAGCGCTTGGGAGGCTGAAAACAAAAGGATCACTGAGTCCGGTCTACGTATTGAGACCCTTTACTCAATACATACATACATACATACATACATACAAGAATGAGGTTAAAATAGAACTTTTTGTATTTACACAGCTGGCAAGATAGCTCAGCAAACTAAAGCACCTGCTTAGGCAAACTAAGGCAAGCACAGGGATCGTGGTTTGATTCCCCAGCACCACATGATCCACCAGCCCAGTACGCAGGGCGGGCTGAGCTGGCCACATAGTCCAGATGTAGTGGTTCATGCCTGTAATCCCAGCACTGGGGAGCCCAAAAACAGGAAGGTCATCACAATTCTGAGCTGCATAGTGAAACGCTGCAATAACCAAATACATTAAAAAAAAAAAAAAAAAAAAAAAGAACTTTTTGTATTTACATGGAAAAAGTTCCTAGATGTACAATTAGATGGAATGGGGTAGAAAACCAAGACAAGGACTATATATACAGTATAGAACAACATATGTATTTTGTAATTTTTATAAACTATAATGTAAAGGTCTGAAAGAGCATATTTAACCAGTTTTTTTGTTTTGTTTTTTTCGGAACCGGGGATTGAACTCAGGCCCTTGCGCTTACCAGGCAAGCGCTTATGCTACTGAGCTATCTCCCTGGCCCCCTTAACTGTTTATAACTAAGGAAAGAAGTTTGATTAAGGTAGTCTGTATTATCTGATGTTTTATATGAAGAGTAACTTGTATAGATGTACAAACAAAAAGTTAAAGTGTGGACGGATACCTTCTAATAAAGCTGCAGTGATTATATGTGACGTGAAAGGAAGTGAATAAAGAGGAACTTGTCACAAGATTTTATCACTTGGTTGAGGGTGTAGTTCAGCAGTGTATTTCTTGCCTAGCATGTGTACAGACCTGGGAATGATTACCAGCACATTCCTTATCTTCCCGAAAAGACTGTTATTTCTTAAAATTAAAAAACAAAAAAAAGTTAACAAATATAGCAAGTAGCTAACATGTATAATCCTAGTTGCCTGATTCCTGTACCTTTTCTTTCTTTTCACTTGCCTTTACCTTTTAATTTCTAAAATTTACCTTTGTTATAGAGCTATACACTATAACCTCTCAATATTAGTATGCCTCCTAGTAAATCTTTTCCATTTTAGTCTGATGAGAATTTAGAAATCTATTTTTAAAAAACTAACAGGAATATAAAGCCTCTGAGTGAGATCAGGAGCTTTTCTTTTTATTCATCATGGTACCAAATAATCAGAGAAGTAAAGCTTCTAGATATCTGATACTAAATATATGAAATATTACCAGATTTGGTTTTTGTATTGGATTCCAAAGGAAAGGGGGTAAAATCCCTAAAACATGGATGATGACTCTTCAGTAAATTAAAGAGAATAAGAGGAAATAGAAAGATGTCTTTCTCTTAAATCTATACACTAAAAGTCATTAATTCACATTACGTGTATATATGTGAACATATATACCATTATGAATACGTCCACAGTATTTATGAAATACTCAATGGGTCTTCAATTATTTCTAAAATCCATAATAATCCATAATAAGGTTTGTAATATAATAAAGCTATACTTGGGATAGCTCTGGGATAGCATCAACTATTTTATAAATTGAACATGTATTAAATTTACTGGTTCTTATAAAAATCAGGTATCAGTGCTCATTCTTCATTTTGTTTTCCCTCAGTGGTAGAGAAGAAATCAAATCATGTTTGATATCCATCCTGCCAGACCCTTTCCTGCAGTTATCACACACACACAGAGTTTAATGCCTATTTAACCTAATCAACACCTATTTGGTTTGCAAACCAGTGAGCATTTACTAGGTGATGGCTAGGAAGCACTGTCAGTGCTCCCTGCTCTGTGATCAAACCCTCCCTTTCCTGGTATCCCTTTTGTACCACATGATCATACCACTGCTTACATGCTGCCTCAGCAGATCTTACTAGTTGATTAATGTGTACAGGATCTGCTTGAAAGTCACTGAAAGGACTGTGTCTCCACTCAAGACATGGCAAACCAAAGTACACAATGAGTCAATATTAAACATTATTATAGATTGTAAAAAAGTTTTTAAAATGACTCAAGTACCATTCCGTCTATTTCATAAGGCCCAGGTAAAATCTTTATCAAAGCCTTGTTGAAAACTCATGAGTGAAGACATACTTGTCACTCAAGAGTTCACAAAGCAGGTGCATGAGTGGCACATGCTTTTAATTCCAGTACCCTCAAAGGCTAAGGCAAGAGGACAGCCAAGTTTGGGCCAGCCTGGACAACTTTGTAAGGAACTATCTCAAAATAAAATATAAAAACAGGAAGAATCAAAATATTATATACAGGGCCAGGGAGATGGCTCAGTAGAATAAGCACTTGTCTGGCAAGCGCAAGGGCCTGAGTTCAATCCCCGGTTCCACTAAAAAAAAAGGTATTATATACATGTATCCACTCTCCAAGATGAATGCAAACTTCATGTACTTGTACAAAATTTTTAAAATAAGAAATAGGGTTGGGGATGAGTTCAGTGCAAAGGCCCTGAGATCTATCCTCAGAACAGCAAAAACAATTTCTCAAAGTATCTGATACCAGTCTTGACCTTTTGTTTACCTCTTATGTTGCACTAAATTCTTAACAGAACTTAATTTGTTATAAAATTATAAAACAAAATAATCATAAAGAAATTTTAGCAGCATGGAAAAGTGGATGAATCAAAAATCTCGAGTGTATTCAGGCTGTTTATATGCAGTTTTTAATGCTAGTTTTTGTGCTCAATTGCAGGAAGGTGGTGTGCATGCTTAAAAATATGCCTTTTTGCATTCTGAGAATTTTCTGACATACAGAGAGAGGAATAAACAAAGAAGCTCAAAAAACCTGACAGGCCATTTCAATAAACTCAATTCATTCATCAGTGAACCTCAACAATTAAAATATATTTAAATCTTAAAAAATTATGCCTTTCAGAAAATGAAGCCACAAGATTATTTTCATGCTACTAAAAACATTAATCCTAATATTAATATCAAATCAATAATGGACATTTCCACATAGAAATTTATTTTTGAGGTAAAATTCACATATAGTGAAACGTACAATTCTGAATATACAGGTTTTGTTGCTGTTGTTGCTTTGTAGCACTGGGTGTTGAACTTGGGATCTTCCCACTGAGCTATGCTATATCCCCCCCTCCTTTTTTAAAATTTTGAGACAGGATCTCACTAAATTGGTAAGTTGCCCAGGCTAGATTTGTTTTTTCTTTTTTTTATTTTTTATTTTGTGTAACCGGGGATGGAACTTGGGACCTTGCGCTTAGTAGGCAGGTGCATATGCCACTGAGCTATCTCCCCAGCCCACCTAGGCTAGATTTGAATTTGTGATTTTCCTGCTTCAGCCTCAGAGTGCTGCTATTATAGGCATGCACTACCATACCTAGCACCAAATATACAGATTCTTGAGTTTTAACAAATGCATGCATCCCATAACATATTTTCTATAAAGACAAAAGCTTTCTACCACCCTAAGAAGTTCCTTTGTACCTTTTTTCAATCTCCCTTATCAGAAGCCACCATTTTTCTGATTTTCTTTACATCAAAGATTAAAATCAAAATTCTAATGTAAATATTTGTGTGTTCACCTAGAGATGGAATACATGCTACTAATTAGAAAGTTGCTCATTTTTTTTTATATCAGGTAAAATTTCACTGAATAATTATAACACAACTTATCTACTCCACTGTGTGTGTGTTTCATTCTTGTGGTACCGGGGATCAAACTCAGGACTTTGTGCCTGCCAGGCAGACGCTTATGCCACTAAGCTCTATCTCCAGCAACTCCACAGTTGATGGGCAATTTATCTGACTTTTCTGGCCTCTATAAGTAAAGTTGCCATAAACATTCTTACACAAGTCTTTTGTTTCTATTCATTCCACTTCTCAAGTAAATACTTAGGAGTAAAATTGCTGGGTCACAGGAGAGGCATATGACTATCAAACATTTTCAAATGGACCATTTTACCCGCTACCAGCCTTGTCCATGAGATCCAGTGGCTCCCCACCTTTAACAACATTTGGTTTTCAGGCTTTCTCATTTTAGCTGCTATACAGTATGCACAGAGCTTTCTTGTGGTTTTAATATATGTTCCATCCTGATAATTAACATCTCCTCATATACTGACTAGTCATCATTCATGTTTACTCATGAAATTTCTTTATCAAAACAAACGAACAACAAAAACCACGAGTTGTTTTCTTATTACTGAGTAGTAAGTTTTTTACTCTGTATACACCTCCTTTGTCAGATATATGCCCCGTGATTATTTTCTTGTCTATGGCCTATCTCTTTATTTTCTTAAGTATGTTTTTTTCTAAGACAGGTTGAGTCACTAATCTGCTAAGTTGCCCAGGCTGGGTACAAAGTTTCAGTCCTCTTGCCTCAGCTTCCTAGAGTAAAAGGTATCTTTTAACAAGTAAAAGTTCAAAACTTCAGTTCCTTTTTCATTTTTTTATTCTTTGAGACAGGGTTTTACTAAGTAATTCAGACTAACCCTGAACTCACTATAGAGCCCACGCTGGCCCTGAACTCATGATGATCCTCCTGCTCAAAAGCATGCACCACCATGTCTGCTAAAAGCTTCAAATTTTATGTAAGTACCGTGCACTAATCGATTGCACCACTGGAGCTTCAAAAAGCTTCAAATTTTGATGGAGTTTAATTTGGAAACTTCCAATGGTGTCCTTGTTTCTTATTCATGAAATCTTTGTCTATCCAAGGATCTACAAAGTATACTCCTAGATTTTCATCTAGAATCTTTATCGTTTTATTTTTCACTTTTGGGTCTACTAAGGTAGCACAAATTTGTAGCTAGTGTGAGATGGGAATCAATCCCAATTTTTCCATATGAACATCTAATTTTTCCAGCAGTTAAAAAAGATTGTTTGCTTCAGTGAACTGCTTTATTACTTCTGTCAAAAGGCACCCATGTAAACATGGCTTTGTTGATAGCTTGTGTACTCTGTTCCATTTGTCTTCATCAATTCTTATACCTCATTAACCTAATATAAATTTGTATGTCTTGAAGTCCTTCATTATGTTATTTCATTTCAATGTAAAAATATAGTTGTGTTAACCATTTAATACCTTTATTCAATAATTCATCTGTTAATTGTTTTATTGACTTGTCTTTCTCCTGGGTGAGTCCAATTTTCTTGCTCCTTCAACTGCCTAGTAGTATTTTTTTTTTTTTTAATTGAGTAACAAACATTGTGAATGTCAAACTGAATGCTTAGATTTTTGTTGTCTTCCTCAAGAAGTGTGGGGCTGTGTTCTGGACTGCCGAAGTTTTTTGTTTGTTTTGTTCTATTAGATGATAAACACTGAATATTAAACTGAGTGTTTGGATTTTATCTTCTTTAAAGAATACAGAGCTTTGTTCAGGCAAGTAAATTACTTGCATATCAGCTTAAAAGGCGCTTCAAATTAAAAGGAGGTCTATTAGAAAGGTTCTAAAATAATCATTATGCTAACTTAGCTCCACTACTAAGGTATTAACTAAGCTGCATATCAGTAAAGACTTTATCTCAGTTGGTCAGAATTTGAGCGTACCCAGCTGTGTGTAAGCTCTAAGAATTGCTCAGCTTATTGTTCCCTGGTAGTTTTCTGCCTACACTCACATTTATACCTTGCACATGTATAATTTAGCATTCAGCAGACTCAACTCAAGGGAATCCCTATGCAGTCTTCCAGGTTTTTATCCATGCAGCTCCTTCCTCTATGGAATGCTGCCTGGTAATTTTTAGCCACTTTCAGACTTTCTAAACTGTGATTTGGGCTGGGGAGATAGCTTGATGGCATAAGAACCTGTCTGGAAAGTGCAAGGTCATGAGTTCAATCCCCAGTATCAAAAAAATAGAAAAACCTCTGTGAGTTCTGTCTTTTCAGTCCAATGAGACAGTTTGCTTCTATATGGCTCCACTATTCCAAATGTGTCTCCAAGCAAAAAATTAAGATCATAGAAATCAAGTATGTCATTCACTTTCTACCTCTCAGGGATCATGACCTTATGCTGCTATTGTTCAGTCCTTGAAAACTTATTTCATAGTCTGTCTAATGACTAAATTCAGTCCATCATGGCTAAAAGAATCAGAACCTGACTTTTTACTCAATTTATACTTATTATTCCAATTCATGACTCTATACCACCTTCTTTTAAATGCGTATTATTTCAGAGAATGAAAACTTAAAAAGACATATTCAATGTTTTAAACAACAATAATGTTTAAATTAGTAGCCACTCAGTAGCCAGGGTTCCCCCCTGGCCTGCTGTGCTGGTACTACTCCCCGCCCCCCAGATGTACTGAGACAGGGATTAAGACTGGGCATGGTGGCGCACGCCTGTAATCCCAGCATTTGGGAGGCTGAGAACAGGAGAATCACTATGAGTCCAATCTATGTAGAGAGACCCTGTAGACTCTGTTAACCCTGTACTAAATACATTAAAAAAAAAAAAAAAATTAGTAGCCTTATACCTTTCCTTGGCCATATGTACAAATACTTCAATTTTCCCATCTTTGGATAACCTTTTGGGAATACAAATATCATGCTTAGTTCTTCTCCTCCTACCTCACACACCATAACTGGCTGCCAAGATACTGTAATTATTAAATATTGTTGAGTATAAAAATAATTCAGGCTGGCTAGATAGCTCAGCAGACTAAAGTGCCTGCTTAGAAAGAGCACAGTGGCCCTGTTCAATCCCCGGTGCTCTGTGCCAGTCTTGCCCCTGAGGCGCGCTGAGACATCAATTGAGACTGGGCATGGTGGTGCGTACCTGTAATCCCAGCGCTTGGGAGGCTAAAAACAGGAGGATCACTATGAGTCTGATCTATGTAGCGAGACTCTGTAGACCCTGTACTAAATACATTAAAAAAAAAAAAAAATTAAATTCAAGGTAAATATTCTTGGTACTAATGGTAAATGTTAATCTGCTTACTTTTACAAAAGATTTTAATCCATTTGACAAAGACTTGGACGAGTTCTCAGGTTTTTGTTTTGGTTTTTAATGCATTTCAGATGGGGGAATAAAAAAAATGTATTTGGTACAGGGTCTCACTATGTAGCTCAGACTTGCAATGATCCCATTTTCAGCCACCCCAGAGCTGATATTACAGGCATGCACCACTATGCCTGGTCTCAGTGGCTGGCTCAGTGTGCCTGGGGGGGTGGGGCTGGCATTGCAATTCCATTTTAGTTGAGGTTTATCCTTTGGTTTTGGTGCCAAGGACCAAACCCAGGACTTAATAGTTTCCCAGGCAAGTGTTCCACTGCTAAGCTAAATCCCTACCCTGCTCAGGTTTAATTTTTAATTAATATTATTCTATTCCTTATTATTTCATTACTTTTAACCTTGTCTTAAATATTTTTCCTTTTTTTTTTTTTTGGCAGTCCTAGAAGTCAAGGACAGGGCCTCTCACATGGTTAGACAAGCACTCTAACACTGATCTACAGCCCCAGACTTAACTATTCCTATACCTGCATATTCTCCCAAATCTATTCCAGCAAAACCAGAGATAATAATGAAAAGCTGTTCTCTTAATATATTACACTTTTGAAAATATAAAATATATTCTTTTAAAAGGCTTGAGTTTCTAGTATTTACAATTTGGACTAAAGGTAGTTTAAAATATATTTTACTTTTATTTTTTGTTTAATGTATTTGGTTGTTTCTAGGTCTCATTACGCAGCTTGGACTCATAGTGATCCTCCTGTTTTCAGCCTCCCCAGCACTGGGATTACAGGCAAATGCCACCATGTCCAGACTCTTAGCTGGCTTAGCCCACCCTGGGGACAGAATTGGCATGGCATGTGATGCGGGGCATTGAATCGCGCATGGTCCCTACATGCTTGCCTAAGCAGGCATTAAATCAGCTGAGCTATCTCACCAGCCCTTGAAAGCATTTTAAACAATCACATCATTAATTTATAACTTAAAACAAAAAAACTTAAGCTTACTGGGGGTTTTTAAGAACTTAAATTTAGATAAAAATTTATACTCAAGCATTAGTCTAAAAAGTTTATAAAAACAGTAACTGATAAGCTTACACTTCACATTCTATTACTGCAAGCTCTTAAAGAGTAACAACCTGCTTTAAAATACTATGATCTTTTCCTATCATTGAGGCATTAATTCCAAAACTCCCTGAGAACAGTAAAATCCTTGGATGTTTAAGTTCCTTATGTAAAGCAGTGCAGATTTGTATAACTTACAAGTATTATTTCATATTTTAAAGAAAATTTTTTTTAGATTTATTTATTGGGTACAGGGTCTCACTAGGCAGCTCAGACTCAGTGATCCTCAGTGTTTCAGCCTTCCCAGCACTGGGATTATAGGCATGTACCACCACATCTGGTTTCAGTGGCAGGCTCAGTGTGGGGCTGGCGTGGCATGCAGTAACGAGGATTAAACCTGGGTCCTTGCACTTGCCAGGCAGGCACTTAGGTGGCTGGGCTAGCTCCCCAGCCCCTCTTTCATATTTTAAAACATCTTTATTTTACTTATCATGGCTAATCATACATTAGCCATATACATATGTATACATACATAAAATATATGTATATTTTAAGCTATATTGGTTAAGGATCAATAAGAAAAAGTCTATACACATCCAGTAGAGACACAAAATCTTTTTCTGAATATCCTCAGTCCAATATTGGTGAAATCTGAGGATATGGAACCTGCAGATATAGAAGGCCAACCATACCAATTACCCAAAAGTAAAACAATTTATACTTTCTTTCATAAGCCAAACTCATTTAGTTCTTGTGTTGTTTCAAAACAGGATCTTGTTGGCTGTGAACTTGGCTACAAACTCTCAGTGTTTCAGCTTACCAAATACTGGGATTACACACAAGTAACACCACACCCAGTTTTCATTCAGTTTTTAAATAGATCAATGTTTAGACTAAAGCCTAAATTAATTATCTTAAAATTAATTTTAAAAAGGTTTAACTTCTCACCTGGTTGCAAGTATCAGATAATGAGTGTATAGCTTCTGAGAACATACTTGCTGAACCCGTATAAATCCATGCAAGAAATTTAAAGAAGCAGTTTAAACCATTTCTGTGAAAGAAAAATAATCATTTAGCATATATTTAGACTACAATTTTCCACCAAAAACTTTATTTAAATTCTATATACTGCTAGATCCTATTAAAGGCAAATTACGAACTTAATACTGCTTAAGTAATAGGAGTACAAATTAGGAAAATACAGATTATGATGTCACAAGGTACTTAAATGAAGAGGCATGCTATATGTCATATAAGTTGAAAACAGGTGAGAAAAGAGGGTATTCTATGTTTAGGTAAATGAGCTAAAAGAAAAAGCTAAAAGTGAAGTAGGCAAAAGATCTTGTCCTATCTGGTACAGCAGTGTCAAAGGCAGACTTCAGTGTGGGTTCGTTCACTTAACTAGGCTGAAGGCAAACCTAGACCTAATAGGTTGACTGTCTTACCCAAAGACTAAAATAAATGTGGTTAGCTCAGAGAAAGCTGTCTGCTTAGATCCAGTTCCAGGTGCTATGCTGGTCACTCGCCATGTGATAGTATAGCTTTTCTCCAATATTAACACCCCCTCTATGGATAAGAAAATTATTCCCTTGCAGCTTCCCTTTTCTCTCATTGCAGTAATTCCTTAAAAAAAAACCTCTAGTATTCTCAGTTTTCTTCATTTTGCACTAACTCTTCTGTCCACTAAACAACACCTTCTGCTTCAATACCCTATAAGCCTTCTCACTACCACCAACCATCCCTTGTTATTAAAGTCTTAAAAATACTCCCAGGCACCATGGCAGAAGCCTGTAATTCCACATAGGCTAGGAGACTGAGTCAAGTGCATGTAACTTCAAGCTTAGACTGAGGAATTTAGAAAGACCCTGCCTTGAAGTAAAAACAGGATGTGGGTCAGTGCAGGTTCAATCCAGTACCAGCTCCCTGTGAGATACAAGAGGGCATGTGAGAGGGCCTGTAGTCAAGCCTGAAGTTTTACCACTGTGGTGAAAATGAGAAGATTTTCAGCTGGCAACTTCAATATTAATTACATCAAGAACAGAGCATAAGAATAAATGTCTGTATTCATTTGGACCCTTCCTATCACTTTACTGACAGTAATACAGACTTTCCAATTGCCTCCTAAAACTATATAAATCTATAATTCTGTAGCTAGCTACAAAGTGGTATATTTTTATGTTCAAGGATATGCACATTAAAAAGAATATATTTCTATTTTCAAAAGCCTATTTTTCAGTACTTACATGCAAATGGCAACCATTACCACTTTTCCTGGTCCCTTGAAGAAAACCGATGCTGTTCTGGAACGTGGCTGCAATAAAACCAAACAAAAACAAAACTTAATTCTCCCAGAAACTCACTGTGATTGTGCCTCTGACACACAAGAAAATTTCTCCTCTATCAAAACCTGTCAAACGGGCCAGCCTGATAGCTTAGTGGACTAAAGCACCTGCTTTGGCAGAGAGCAGCGGCAGAGGTTCAATCCCCAGTGGCATGCTGTGCCAGCCCCGCCCCCGGAGAGCACTGAAATAGTAACTGAGACTGGGCGAGGTGGCGTGTGCCTGTAATCCCAGTGCTAGGGAGGCTGTAAACACGAAAATCACTACAAGTCCAATCTACGCAGTGAGAGCCTACAGACTGTAGACCCTGCCCTAAACACACAGGAAAAAAAAACCTGTCAACAACAAAAAAACCTGTCAACAACTAGATTTACTTTTCTTCCTTTTCTCCAGCAAGTTCTTTTAAAAGCAATCAGAGTAAAACTGAAAATAAATCTGAATACTTCGCCAGAATCTTGTTTATTTTGTTTCCTTGTACTTCACATCCTGTGGACTTCAACAATCATAGCTGTCTACACAGAAACTGGTAATAAGCTAATAAAATTATACTGACCTAAAATCCATATATACTAAAAATTTTCCGTTTCTTCAGCAATTCCTTGCTTTTAAAAAAAGGAACAGCCAAAACCAACAAATTCACTACTTGAACTTAACTCTTTAGTGGTCAAAACCTCAAGTGAAAGTATCATGTTGAATTGTAAAAAGACCAAACAAACAAACAAAAATCAAACAAACAAAAAAACCAGACCAAAACAAAGGAAAGAAACACTCAGGATAAAGATTTTCCTGAGCTGAATTATCTTTTCTACTCCTTGAAAATTTACTTTGCCTCACTCTCCTGTGTGCTGTGATTACAGGTGTGTACCCCAACACCTGGCAAGTGTTACCTTCCTCTATAAAGCCTTCTCTGATCGCCTACACAGAAGTAAGTACTGTGCTACAAACTATTGTATTTTACATCTCTATTATTTTTATATTGTCATGTCATTCATTCAGGAAACATTTATTGTATAACTACTATATACCTGGTGTAGTTCTAGATGCTAGGGCATGTCAGTAAGATGGAGTCCTTGCCTTCAGAGATCTCATATTCTAGTCTAACAGAGCAAAATAAATCCATTAAAAAAAAGTCTAACATCAGATGGTGGTGAATATAATAAAGAAAAAGAATATAAGAAAACAATGGGGGACAGAGGTAGTGATGGGAAAAGTTATTCTAGCTATTATACTTAGGGAAAGAGGTTCAACGATGAGACACAGGCAGTCATGAAACAATCTGGAAGAAAAATGCTTGAGGCAAAATATGGAGCACGTTTAAAGACTCCAGGATGGAAGGAAGCTTGGTTTATTCAAAGGGCAAAAATAAGGCTGGTATGGTTAAAGTGGAGAACAAGGAAAACAAAGGAGTTGAACCCAGGCAGACAGGCAGGTGCTATATTCCACAAAACCTTGCAGACTACAGAAAAAAGTTTAAGTTTTCCTCACGACAAAAAAGAAGGTACTGGACAATTTTAAGAAAAGATGACAATCTTATTCTAAAAAGATACAGTTCATTATTTTAAGAAAAAGCAAAAGGTGGTGAGATTAATTAGAAAACTCTACATAAGATATGATGAAGATTTGGCTCTTGCTAAATTAACACAGCTTATGTCAACTCTGTTCCAGTAGGTAGGCCATGA